GATTATACACTCCAAGACGTGAAAACACTTCAAATCAAGTGTTTGGAGTGACCCGGGTGACATCTAGGGACGTATAAGGCTCGGATATGGAGTTTACCCCTCAATAGTAAACTCACAAGAGGGTTTACGGTCCTAATGGCCATCCCCCATGAGTTTACGGCCGTAAACTCATGGGTGGGGTGTTCCATGATGCTAAATGGCCTTACTTTACTTGGGAAGATTAGCTAGGATCAAAACTAGGGTATCGGAATGGATTAAACTCACATATGGACCATATAATGGAGTTTACGGCCTAAGAAGATGTTCTTGGGAGGTTTATGGCCGTAAACATCCATGGGGTAGTTTTGGCATGAATTAAGGTCCTTAACTTGATTGTGGTTGCTTCTAGACTCATTTCTAAGGCTCATGGTGTGTTTAAGTGGCATCTTAACACATAGAAATGAGTTTAAGGTCTAAGAAGATGAGTTTACTCCTCATGAATGGGTGTTTACGGTCCAAGCATATGCTTGGTCCGTAAACTCAAGCTTATCGCATTTGATGAAGTTTTGGAGCATCACATGAAGGCTTATGAGGTTCTACACTCCCATAGAAGTTCATTGAAGGTGTTTAGGGGCAAACTAACACCTTAAGTGGTGTTTAAGGTCCTTGCATGGGGGTTTACGGTCCAAGAGGGTTCTTGGGCCGTAAACTCATGGTTACACATCAAATCCCATGATTTTGAGGTCCTTGGTTCATGCATGCAAGTTTCTAGGTCGAATCTAAACCCTTGAAGTGTTTTGGAAGGGTTTTATGGCACAAAAACCCCATTTTCATGAGTTCACGGCCTAGGGATGTTCTAGGACCGTAAAATCATGTTAATGGTCCTAATCCTCATAAAAATCTCGAATTTGAAGGTCTAAGATGCTAATTCATGAGTTAAGGAAGTTACCTTAGTGATTTGGAGCTTGTTTTCGATGATTTTGGCTAAGTTTCGGATTTTAGAGAGAGAGAGAGAGTAGTGAGAGAAAGTTTTTAGAGAGAGAGTAAAAGCCTCAAAATGATGTCACTCAATCCCTTATATAGGGGTTGAGTTTGTGGCCCGGAGGAATTCTACCCAATACGGTCGTTAGACGGTGCTTTTGGGATAAATCTGTCGTAATTACGATTTACATGAAATAATAATTTTCCAAACAAATATGGAAAATATTTTTAATGATTATAACTCATTCCGACATTTACGAAATCGAAATAAAGGTCGTGATAAAATTTATTTAATGCAAAGGTTAACGGAATGAATTTAATACAACGGATTTTTAATGACGTATCGGGTTACGACGATGGAACGAACTTTGGGTTGTTATATTATCCCCCCGTTAGATGGAATTTCGTCCTGAAATTCAAACGTTAGATGCGACTCGCGGAATTGGAAAGAGGATACAGATACTTTTGTTCTATCGGATCATCACGCTTCCAAGTGAATTTGGATTCTCGCATGGCATTTCGTGGAACATTTCACTTATCGGGAGACGACTTGCTTCATACATTTAATCTCTCGCTCTATGATTTCGATTGGCTCTTACCATAAGGTTTAGACTTTCGTTGATTTCGGTCTCTTCAAAGGGATTGTTATGGTTTCATCGGGTAGGCACTTCTTAAGGAAAGAGGCGTGGAATATCGGGTGGATGCTACTAAATCCTGAGGGTAGTCGGAGTTCGTAGGTTACAGGATCAATCCTAATGGGGATTTCGAAAAGTTCTATGTACCTCGGGATGCGCGTTTTAGAATGTGACGTGCCTTCTTTCTCACCGTTAACTATCTCGATGGTAAATGTTCCGGTTATTAGTTGAGGGCTATGTTTATGAAGATGTTCGAATTAATAGATAACAGTTCATCTTTCAGTACTAGAATTGAAAAGGATTGCAAACAGAATGGTTGTCGAAAACGAATATACCTGAGGCAACGGTGGGATCGGCGGCTGCCTCCCCTTGTCCTATAGCTAGGACTCTTCCAGTGTTGCCAGTTATTGCTGTATTTGGGCAGTTTCTCTTATAATGCCTGACTTTACCGCAACCATAACAGGCCTGACTGATGCCCGCCCTAGAAGCTTGATTTGTTGGTGTTCTGCAACTCCGCGCACGGTGACCCTCTTGGCCACAATTTTTGCAAAATTTTACACGACAGGGACCGGGGATATAGTGGTGGTAACTTCACTAGTTACACCACGGAAGAACACCGGCATATCCGGTGATAGGTGCTTGGGCTGGGAAACCTACAACAGAAACAGTAGCAGGGGTAGTGGCAGCGTGGACCGCCACCATCTGTTGTTTCTTCGAGAACTCTTGTGAAGGCTGACATTTCTCCCCCGCCTCCCAGTACTTTCTTTTCTCACCACTTCTTTCTGTAGGCTCAAGAGTGGTTGCTGCTTCCTCTACGTCCGCACTATGGTCGATCAAGATTTGCACTAGGCATTTGGCACTGTCGTATGTATCCGGCTTCGCAGCTAAGACGTTCCCTTTGGTTGGCTGGGTTAATCCCCAGATAAACCTCTCAATCTTCTTACTTTCCGGGGTAACCATTCCTAGACAAAGAAGCGCTAAGTCATCAAATCTGGATGTGTAGGCAGCGATGTCGGAACCTTTCATCTTCAGGTTCCAGAGTTCATGTTCCAGCTTCTGAATTTCACCCCGAGGGCAATACTCTGCATGTAGAAGTTCCTTCATAACTTCCCAACCTATAGCATTGGCTACAGGTAGAGTTAGAGATTTGACTCGGCCGTTTGGGTCATATATGTATATAAAAATAAATAATAGTTGAAAATACATATAAAAATATGAATTATATACAAAATTTCCGCCTTAAGTCACGCCTTACAAACGATGTGACTCGCCAAGAGTCGGAAAAGCTTTAGGCTTGATATTTCTGCCAAGTCACGCCTTACGTTATTTAGAACATTGCCTATGACATTATGCTTCCAAATACCATCAGATGCCGACGTCGTTCCCGTAGCAACTTCTCCACGAAAACCATCCCTGTCTCTATTTTCTTTCTACGTTTTTTTTTTCATCTTTCTCTCTCAAGAAATGACCTCAACATTTGGGTTTCAATTTGGATGCAGAAACCTAATTGTCATGTTTCATTTTGGAGCCGTTTGCATAATCAATTTTATCGTTTCATGGTAAACCCCAAATTTAGGTTTTTAACTTCTTTTATTTGTTCCCTGATTAAATTAATGTTGATTCAAGATTTCAGTCAGTTCTCATTAATGTGTTTAAGTTAATATCGATTTATTTTTAGGTATTTTTAGGGTTACTTGTTTAGGGTTCAAAATAACCTTAATAATATTGAAACACAAAATTAGTGATCAATCTGTTATTTGAATTGACGGGTTGTTTCAGAAAGCTTAATGAGAAAGTGTGATGATTACTGTTACAATGATACGAGCACTTGCTAAAGTTGGGTACCGACAACATTGAACACATATTTTTGCTTCTTACACAAATAAGCCGAAGGTTACTTTTTCTTCTATTTTGTATTTTAGTTTTAGCAATCTATTAATAATATGGTTGTCTTGATTCCACATAAACATGCCTAACAAAATTCCCAAACTTCCCCAACATTATTTAAGCATTTTATTTATTAGATGGAGGTTAGCGGAAAAAAAGATATTGGAGGAAGAACACAGCCGGACAACTTTAATCAGTCGTTTGCTTTGGTAATTTATCTTTATACTCTATTATCATACATTTTCCCCTTCTTGATTTTCGTCATGATTGATGATTGTTATTGAAATATACCGAGTAGACGGGAGTGGTGGCACAATAGAACAAGTATACGAGGAGGGAGTCAAACATATTGATATTTCTATTCTTAATGGCATTAGTTGTAAGTATCATACTCGAACTTAATTTACCCCGACTTTCCAAATATTTGTTGATTGTTGTTGGAAACTATGCCTACTTGCAGTTCAGTAGAGTCTCTTTCACTAAATGTCCAATTCAAATTTTCAATAGTTTAGTAACTTTCAAATTTTTGTTTGGGTGGATGAGATATAAGAATATTGCTTTTTGTTCCCTTTGAATAATCACTTCTTTGTAGACATGTCGATAAGCTAAAGTTATTTTCTATCATGTCTCATTGTTTGTGAGTTTAATTTCTAAAAACGATTGCATTTTTTTTTTCTTATTACTATATTTCAATTTCATTTTTTCTAATCAAAACATTCAAATTGGAAAAAAAATCCACCCCTAGGTCCTAAGACATCCAACTTACCGTGTATATATATATATATATATATATATATATATATATATATATTATATATATATATATATATATATATATATATATATATATATATATATATATATATATATATATATATATATATATATATAAAAGGAGTGGTTCAAATGAGAACAAAAAAAAATTAAGAACCGTAATAACCTCTAACTTTAGATGTTTATAAAGGGTTTAGGGTAACCCTAAACCCTAACCCCTAAACCCTAAACCTTTTATAAACACCCTAAACCCTAAACCCTTAACCCCTAAATGCTAAACCCTAAACCCTTTATAAACACCCTAAACCCTAAACCCCTAAACTCTTTATAAACATATAAAATTAAAGGTTATTATGGTTCTTAACCTTTTTTGGTTCTCATTTGAATCTTTACCTCTATATATATATATATATATATATATATATATATATATATATATATATATATATTTGACATAAAGTAAACTTTATAAAATTCAATAATTAAGGCCACTTGTATACTTGTGGTTTGGGGACCGCAAAAAACGTTTTGTAAGTGGAGAAAACTTAGAAAAAGACGACATAGAATTATTGATGCCAGCTGGACCGCACTATATGTTACAGAGATAGCATATTATACCATCTTCATTAAAACCCTTCCAAATCCCAAAGATAGAATCTATATATGTGGATCTCTTTCAAACCATTCAACTTAATTACTTCTTTGAAGGTTAGCTCCTCCCTCTTTTTTTGATCCATTGTCAAAATGTTGTCTATCACAAAAAAGTTTGAACACCTTAAAATACCACTAGAAGCCATAATATCGTCAACAAACAATTTTGCGGAAAGCAATTGCATCGGGAGAGGCGGATTTGGAAAAGTGTATAAAGGCGAATTACATGTCCACTTGAAGGGGCAAACCACAGTTGCTTTAAAACGTTTAGATCGTACATTTGGGCAGGGAGACCCTGAGTTTTGGAAGGAGATAGTTATGCTTTCTCTTTATAAACATGATAATATTGTTTCTCTCTTAGGGTTTTGTGATGATAGTGGAGAGAAGATCCTGATATACGAATATGCATCAAATAAAAGTCTAGACTTGTATCTCAAGAGCGATGATTTAACATGGGTTCGGAGACTGAAGATATGCATTGGGGCAGCTCGCGGTCTAGCTTACCTTCATAATCCTGCTGGGACTCAACAAAGAGTATTGCACCGGGATATTAAAAGCTCCAATATTCTTTTAGATGAAAATTGGAATGCGAGGATTGCGGATTTAGGTTTATCCAAATTTGGTCCTGCTAACCAACAATACACATTTCTTGTCTCTAATACAGTAGGCACGTTTGGGTATTGTGACCCGATATACGTAGAGACAGGGTTACTTACAAAAGAGTCGGATGTCTATTCATTTGGGGTAGTGTTGTTTGAAGTTTTGTGTGGGAGGTTATGTATTAGCTACCACAATAAGGCGCAATCTTTTACGGAAATTGTTCGAAAGAGTTACAAACAAAACAAAGTAAGTGAAATTATTTACGGTAATATAAAAGATGAAATAAATCCTGATTCTTTGGAGGCATTTACAACAATTGCTTATCGATGTTTGAAGAGAGACCGTGAACAACGTCCATTGATGAACGAGATTGTGACAGCACTCGAAATGGCACTCATATATCAGGTATGTTGCTTTTTTCCTTTTTTGTTTACTCATTTTTGGTAATCATCTTAATCTCTTCATTTTATTATCAATTAATTTCAAGAAAACTAAGAACATTAGGTTTTCAAAAAGTTATTTGAATTATTATTGTGTTATATATAAATGAAATGAGTACATTCCAATTTTGCGTGTCAACCGATTAACATAGTTTTTATTTGAAAGTAAGGTAATTTCTTTTTTTTTTACATTTTCGAACTATTATGCTTTTTTTTATATAATAACGGGTAGTTGGATCTTTTACTACAATATTTTTGTGTATACATTCTATGCATTATTTGTATATACATAACTAAATCTACACTTGGTGTTTTAGGCTCCACCAACATCTCCAACACCTACTCCAACTCCAAATCCACATCCATTGTCCAAGTTGATTACTACTGTCTTACCTCCACCGCCAGAGTCAAAGAGGATGTTCTCACCACCACCACCTTCGCTTTTGAAGCCTCCACCTTATGTTCCAAAGAAGAATAATCAAAAGAAATGGAGGATATGAGATGGAAGAGCAGGTTCGTGTAAGCTCAAACCATGAAACGTTGACTGGATAGTTGATTCAGCATGTAATATCTATTTTAAGTATTTGTTAAGGTTTTTTATGCATGAAGTTTTCCATTGGCTTGATTTCTGGAATAGGGATCATTTTTTCATGGGAAGGTGGTATAGATTAATATTTTTAATATAAAAGCTAATAAGTGCGAAGGAAACAAACAACATAAATTAATCTCAGCACCTTGCAATAAAGGAAAAGGCTTAATTAAAGTTACAGCCAAATTTCATTAATAATTCTTTGGATTTCTACAAGAAAAAACTTAGCATAATTAATCGCCTCTCCACACTAGTAGAAATTTTCTTACAGGGATGGATTCATAAATCCCTAATTAGTAACTGGATTTGTTATTTAATTACTAACTGTACCAAAATGTTTGAAAATATCTGTCCTCTAAATGGTAGAAGGTTCAAATAGAATAGTTCCTAAAGCAACTTGCCAAAGGATTTAAAATATGTGTTAGCCGCTTTAGAGAAAAGTTATTTATCTTATTTTTGTAACAACTTTATGCAATAATAGTTATATGATTATACAAAATTTAAGACTAGGCTACTAGTTCAAACTTCAAAGTTGTCAATAGGGCCGACCAAAAGTCTTAGTGATCAGGGCCATGGCCCTAGACATCAATTGCGGGGAATAAAATTTAGTTTACTGTTATGGGTATCAATGTATCATGGTATGTATTTACTCTGGGCCAGAACTTTTAGATAGTCTGCTAAGGGAATCGCTTGAAATCAGGAAATTCAGAAGTCGTGAAAAATAGAATAAATCAACATGGAAAATTGGAAAACAAACCCAATTAAGAAAATAAAAAGTATAAATCGTCATTTAAAAAAAGAAAAAAGAAAAGCTAACATACACTCATAATCCTACTTCTAAATCTACACCTTTCTCCAATGACACTAGAACTCTCAAATTTTGACTGAAAGACACATTTCCG